TTTCCTGCTTTGTCGAAGATGAGTTGACCATAGAGTTGAGGGTCCATTTCTGGGCTCTCTATTCTGTTCCATTGATCTATGTGTCTGTTTTTGGGATGCACAACTATCTTGAACAAAGACTGTTTCTCCCAGGTTCCCTTGCATCTAGATGCCACTTTGGTCACTAAGATATAGGATAAGTGTCATGTGACAACTTCAGAGAACCTTTCACTTTATTCTTCCCCCTTTCCTCCATCCTGCTGTCTGGAACTTGGACATGATGGCTTGTGTTCTGGTTGCTATCTGGTTGCTATCCCACACCCTAGGATTACTGAAGCAGTGAGCTGGAAGGTGTCACATTACTAGGTTTGGGTTGCTCACCTTGGGTTTTGCATGGGAAAGAAATACACTCTTTTTACATTTAAGCCACTATTGTTTTGGGTTCTTTGCTGTTATTCACTTATTCCAATTCTAACTAATACTGAGGGCTTGGCATCCATTAGTGATCAACAAATGTTTGTTGAATGAATGAATGAATCAGTGAACGAGTAAACAGGTGGGCTAAATGATCATGGTTCAAACAGCTAGGTTTTTCACAGGAGTGGCTCATAGAGAGCCCTAATGCTGAAGGTGCTAGGAACTGAGGTCTGCATATAAGGAGGGGGAGGAAGGGGGTTGTCCAGTGACTGCTGGTTGGAGCACATGTGGGAAAGACATGCAGTGTAGAAGGAAGGAAAGAAGGACTGTGACATTGGGTACAAGTCCCAGCTCTGTCTCTTCCAAGCTGGTTAGGCCCTGGAGTCTGAGCGGGTACAGTGGTGAAGAACACGGATGCTGGAGTCTGATGACTGGGATTTGAATTTGGACTGTCTCTGACCGACTGACCTAGGGTAAGTCGCTTCATCCCTCTCTGCTTCAGTTTTCTCATTGGTAAAATGGGGATAAAGGTAACGCCTAGCTCCTAGGGTGGCTGGGAGGATAAATGAGCTAATGCAAAGAAAGCGTTGAGTCCAGTGCCTGGCTCATGGGAGTACCACGGCCCCTGCTAGCAGTCTGGCAAGCATAAAATATCTTCCAGACAAAATTAATTAAGCCTCATCAAACAGGATGGCAGTGGACGGGGAAGGCAGGATGGATTGATTTTCAGGGGCGCCTGGGTGGCTCAGTCGTTAAGCGTCTGCCTTCGGCTCAGGTCGTGATCCCAGGGCCCTGGGATCGAGCCCCGCATCAGGCTCCCTGCTCCGCGGGAAGCCTGCTTCTCC